TGGAAAGAGCCAAGATGTCCATCGACAGATGAATGGATAAAGAAGAAGTGGTACATAGATACAATGGAATATTATGCAGCCATTAAAAGGAATGAAATCTTGCCATTTGCAACGACGAGGATGGAACTAGAGGGTATTATGCTAAATGAAATAAGTCAATCAGAGAAAGACATGTATCCTATGATCTCACTAATGTGAGGAATTCTTAATCTCAGGAATCAAACTGAGGGTTGCTGGTGTGGTGGGGGGTGGCTCGGTGATAGACATTGGGGAGGGTATGTGCTATGGTGAGCACTGTGAATTGTGTAAGACTGATGAATCACAGACCCGTACCTCTGAAACAAATAATACATAATATGTTAAAAAAAAAAAAAGAGAGAAGATAGTAGGAAGGGAAAAATGAAGTGGGAGATATCGGAGGGGGAGACGAACCATGAGAGACTATGAACTCTGAGAATCAAACTGAGGATTCTAGAGGGGAGGGAGGTGGGGGATGGGTTAGCCTGGTGATTCTTTTTAAATAGGGCACATATTGAATGGAGCACTGGGTGTTATACGCAAACGATCATGGAATACTACATCAAAAACTAATGATGTATGGTGATTAACATAACATAATAAAATAAAAAAAAGAATATGTATAATATAATATGCACATGTATATGTGATGCATATTTAGAAAGCAATTAGAAAATACTGAAAAGCTGTGACATCATGGGTAATCTAACAACCCAGGGCTAATTCCTGTGAACATTTTAGCATCTACTCCTTGTCTTTTTTGGCAAACACACATGGTAAAGGAAATCTCCAGTGTTTCATTTATGTCACACACCATACTCTCTCAATACTACTTCACTGCTGACGTTAGCTGTGTGGGTTTTCCACTCATCAGGCAGTCCTGCGACGCTAGCCGAGCACCCTGCAGTTTAACTCCATTCCGACGCTGTCTACCTGGAGACAACTCAGATCCCAGAGGCTAAGGGTTCAAAGTCTTACAAGACTCCCTCCTCACTCCAGTTACAACTTCAGGTTATTACTTGTGCTTCTGACTCACAGACAGTAGATTGGAGATTCCCACGACCCACTCCTCAGATATGGTTAGTTTGTCAGAGCTGCTCCCCTGACTGAGGACCAGCTGCAGGAAGAAAGTGCACAGGGCAAGATGTGATGGAGAGGCGCGGAGCTCTCACGCCCTCCGCAGAAGTGCCCCACTCTTCCAGCACCACTCCCTGTGTTTGCCCAGCCCGAAGCTTGCCAAACCCTATCCTTCTGGGTTTTTATGAAGGCTTCATTAGATAGGCATGAGTGATCAAGTCATTGGCCATTGATGATGGATTCAGCCTCCAGCCCTACTCTAGAAATTTCCAACCTTCTAATCTTGGTTGGTTCCCCTGGCAACCAGCCCCCATCCTTAGGTTACCTAAGGGCTTTCTAAAAGCCACCTCATTAACGTAAACACAAGTGTGGTTGAAAAGGGGTTTGTTATACATAACAAAAGCCACCTTTATCTTATCCCTTAGGAGATAATTTTTAAAGTATTTAATTAATTAATTAAGAGAGAGAGAGAGAACTTGAGCAGGGAGAGGGACAGAGGGAGAGGGAGAAGCAGACTCCCTGCTGAGCATCCCAGTCTGACCCTGCTCCATCCCAGTGTTACAGGATTGCGGGGTTCTTGTTTCACAGAGTCAAAGAATGAATCTCCCGGACACAAAAGGGTGAAGTGCCCTGAAAAGTTTATTAAGTGAAGGTGAGAACAGAAAGGAAAGAAATCTCTCTAGAGTGAGAGGGGTCCCAAATGGGTTGCCACTGAGGGCTTTTATTGAAAACTTGACCAGGGAGCTTGTGGCCTTGAGATTCTTGTGCAGTCTTGGTCTGAGCAAGGACAATTGATAGCACCCTTAAATGACTTACTTCTGAGGTTTGTTCGTTTTCTGTGATTCCCTGTAGCCACCATAACATCCGGGGCCAGGTGGTCTGGTCTATTCCCTTATCTCTTGTTCACTCTTTCAGAGCCTAGTCAGGGGCCCCCTATCTCTTCCTGCCTATACCTGTACACTTTCCTTACTCACCAGGACCCTGGGATCATGACCTGAGCCCATATGACATGAGCTTAACCGACTGAGCCACCCAGGCACCCCCACTTAGGAGATTTTAAGGGTTTTTAGGAGCTCTAACAAAATATATATGTGTGTGTGTGTATATATATATATAAGTATATATATTATTTATTATAAATCACAATATTCTACACATATACCCATGAGAGTCCATATCTAAAATTAGTTGACTTCTATTTATACATATCTAAGAAAAGTCCATTCTGATATTTCTGCACTATCAGGAGTGAAAAGAGAAGTATGTATATGATGGAAATTATTATATTCAATATACTAGTGCTTTCTAAATGCTGATCCAAGTGCTGATTTGATAGAGTTGTTACCAGTCCAACAGGAAATAAGGAAAATGGAACAATGATGAAAACGAATTTGCTCAACATAATAAAGGACTGTCTTATAGTCTGAGTTATTTTAATCATTTTTGGAGAATTAATACATTGTTTCCTCTATGAAATGTTGGTAAAACTGTGGTGTATTGTTATAGGTGATGATGGTGATGTTATTACTTTGCAAAACACAACAACAAAACAAGAGTAATCCTGTTGTTCCCTGCTTCAGGTTTTTAAAATTTTATTTTACTGCTTCCTGAAATTTACAAGCCTTGTAAGGATTGTCTTATGCAGCTTCTTGTAATTAACAACAAAATTATTTGACCCAGTGCTGTTCGACCTTGGGTTATGTTACATATATTAATTTTTCACCCTTATTATTTATTGAGTCCTTTTTTTTTCATTCCCAGTACCTGGTCATGGATTATTATGTTGGTGGAGATTTGCTTACTCTGCTCAGCAAATTTGAAGATAGATTGCCTGAAGATATGGCTCGATTTTACTTGGCTGAGATGGTAATAGCAATCGATTCCGTTCATCAGCTGCACTATGTGCACAGGTAAGTAAGACGCCACGCAAGAATGGGTTGTATGAATGTCAGTGGAGATGTTTTCGTAGGAAAGTGATACTTTTGATGGCCATGGGGTAATTTTTTCTTTGTGAACTATTTGACAGGTACAATGATTTATTTAAAGTCTTCCCCACAAATGTGTGTTTGATCGTATACAGTTTAAGATGGAATGAAGAGAAAAAAGTGAGCCTATTTACAAAATAGTTTTTTTATACAGGATTATTCTTTTTTTTAAAGTTTTTATTTAAATTCCAGTTAACATACAGTATAATACTAGTTTCAGGTGTACAATATAGTGATTCAACACTTCCATATATCACATGGTGCTCATCACGACCAGTGCACTCTTTAGTCTCCATCACCTGTTTCCCCCATCCCCCCACCCATCTCCACTCTGGTAACCATCAGTGTGTTCTCTAGAGTTTGTTTCTTGATTTATCTCTTTTTTCCCTTTGCTCATTTGTTTTGTTTCTTAAATTCCACATGTGAGTGAAATCATGGTATTTGTCCTTCTCTGACTTATTTCGCTAATCATAATACTCTAGCTCCCTTCATATCGTTGCAAATGTTAAGATTTCATTCTCTTTTGTGGCTAATATTCCATTGTATATATATATACTGCATCTTTATCCATTCACCTATCGATGGACCCTTAGGCTATTTCCATAGTTTGGCTATTTTAGATAACACTGCTATAAACATTGGAGTGCATGTATCCCTTTGAATTAGTATTTTTGTACTCTTTGGGTAAATACCTAGTAGTGTGATTGCTGGATCGTAGGGCACTTGTATTTTTAACTTTTTGAGGACCTTCCACACTGTTTTCCAGAGTGGCTGCACCAGTTTGCATTTCCACCAGCAGTGCATGAGGGTTCTCCTTTCTCCACATACCAGATTATTCTTATACCTGTTGACACACAAGCTAAAAATCTCTTTCTGTGTAAACAGCTCATAGTAATTTATGTGTAATAAAAAAAATTTTAAATGGATAATTTAAAAGTCAGTCTCATATTTCAAAGGAAAGAAAGTAGGAAACCATCACAGTTACTAGTGAATTAATCATTCAAATGAGGAAATCTTTGGGTTGTGAAAACTGTGAGAAAGAGTGAAGAGGCGCTAGGGAGAAGCAGGTGAAGGACCTGCCACATTGGAGAGGGAAGGAACCATTCTCTGAGACGTCAGCATGCATTGGAATGGGGCAGAGGGTTTGCTGGGACCCACTTTGTTGGGTCAGCACCAGGGCTTCTGAATCCATAGGGTGGGTGGGGCTGGGAATTGGCATTTCTGACAGGTTCCCAGGTGCTGCTGCTGCTGCTGGTCCAGCAACCACACTTCGAGTCCTTCTGCTCAGTAACACAGCAGTGACTGTTACTTTTAAGTGGTGGGTGATGCACATAATCTCTGTGAAGGACAAGAGCGTGCGTGGAAGAGAAAGTTTCTGTTTTAGTGTTGCTTTTTTTTTTTTTTTTAAGATGTGGGTATTTTCTGCTGATTGATTTACTTAGTAATGAACTTCTAGGACATTATTAAAGGAAGAATATTTTTATTAAAAATTTTGTATTTATGAGGTCTCACTTTGGCTCTTGCCTAATCATATGCTTTTCTCTGTTGATATCTGATAGTCACAAAGTTTTTTTGAAAATAAAAACATGAATATACTATGAAAATTATAAAACACAATGCAGTTTTTAAGATGATATTGTGGTCTTATGAGTGAATTACAGAATGAGAAACTAAAGTGCTTTTGTTACAGTAACCCAAGATCCTAGCTGAGGACTGTCAGTTAAAAATACTTTAAAAACATCATTTAATTGAACATTTAAAGAATGTTAGTCTTAGACTCAAAGAGTTCAGTGAAATTTTCCCCAATTCATATCTAAATTCTCAGTGAGGATGATTACTTTGGAAAATAATTTGTCTAGATTGGAGATAGTAAATATGAGGTATTTCTGCCAGGCTGTGACAAATATTCTTAACTGATCACAGGACCCTTTCCTACCAACTGTATATGCAGTCTTAAGATTCTTCTTACCACAGCATTTTAGATGATAGTTATCTTTCTGATGTTGACATTGGAAAGCCATTTCAACCCTGAGCTCTATTAGGGCTCTGTACCTATAATTTTACAAGGTACGCCATGTTAAATGAGTCCTGTTTATTCTATTGTTGGACAGCTCTTCATGTCATAGAATTTTATTTTATGTTAAGCTGAATTTCTTTTTTGCCTTACCATTGGTCCTAGTTTTGCCTTCAGAACCACATATAATAGTCTAATTTATCTTAAAGCTATCATGCCTTCTGAAGTCATCTTTCCTTTAGGTTAAACATCAGTGTATCTGTAGTTATTCTGTTATCAAAATTGATGTACGCATTCTCTCTCCCACTATCTCATACACATATGGACCCTCACCTTGTGCCCACTTCCACGCCTCCCGCCCTCTCTCCTTGCCTCTCCCTTTACTCCTCAATGGACACACTCTGGTGTATCAATGCCCTTCTTAAAATGTGATTCCCATTTTCTGGATAGACTGTATTTCAGCAGATGCTTTACTGAGGAAATATTTGTTGAGTCTTCTTTTATAAATAGCACTGTGCTAAGTTACATAAAAATTTAAGTAAGTATAACATAGAGTCCTGCCTTGTAAGAAGCTTCCAGCCTGTTTGGGGACACAAAACACAAGACATAAGTGAAAACTAAAGTAGTAGAAGTTAAATAATCATTTAGGGCAAAAGTGTAAGAGATGGAATGAGCCCAGATTGTGAACTGCTATTAGAATTATACAGGCAAATTACAATGAACTCAGAGAAACAAGTAATAAGCTTAATTCTAATGGTCATTTCCAGTGGTTAACTCTTAACTGTGTTACAGACTTTACCTATATTATTCTAATTCTACCAATAATTCTGTATTTTGGGTGTCGTCTAAAATGGATGTGGCTCCATTCTATAGATGAAGAAACCCAGCTTCAGAGACATGATTCCATAATTAGCATAACCTAGATTAAAATCTGAGGCTGATGCCAGAATTTATGCTCATGACATAACATCATATTTCTCGCAAGAGAATGCCTTGTGGTGGGACTTTGCAGAATGAGGAGGCTTTTTGTAGGCAGATCGGAAGGTGTTCTAGAGACAAGGGATGGCAGGAGAGAAGGTCATAGGCAGGCAAAGGGTGGGTCTGGAGGAGGGTTGGTAGGTGGTTCGGCTGGAGAAGAGAGCTCATGTTGAGTTGAGGAAGAGCGATTTCAGTCCCTCTTGTGGAAACACTTGAGTACCGTGTTGTAGACTTGATATCTTGGTAGCCATCAAGCTACCAGTAACTTTAGGGAATGAAGCGTTTGATTCAAACAGTGTGTTAAGTTAGTTGGTTTTACAGTAACTGCACATCAGAGTTTTCATGTTTTGCCAAATTTCAGAATGTTTTATAATTTTGAACTTCCAAGTATATGGAATTAGAGAATACAAAAAGGGAATAGTGGAGACTGGATGCCTTCAGGGAAAGAAATACGTTTTTCCCTTTGTGTTATTTTAAAATAAATTTATTTCCCTCAGTTTGTTTTTCAGAGTCCATCGTCTCTCATGGTTCGTCTCCCCCTCCGATTTCCCCCCCTTCATTCTTCCCCTCCTGCTATCTTCTTCTTCTTTTTTTTTCCTTAACGTATATTGCATTATTTGTTTCAGAGGTACAGATCTGTGATTCATCAGTCTTGCACAATTCACAGTGCTCACCATAGAACATACCCTCCCCAATGTCTATCACCCAGCCACCTCATCACTCCCACCCCCCATTCCAGCAACCCTCAGTTTGTTTCCTGAGATTAATAATTCCTCGTATCAGTGAGGTCATATGATACATGTCTTTCTTGGATTGACTTATTTCACTCAGCATAATACCCTCCAGTTCCATCCTCGTCATTGCAAATGGCAAGGTTCTAGAGGGGAGGGGGGTGGGAGGATGGGTTAGCCTGGTGATGGGTATTAAAGAGGGCATGTTCTGCATGGAGCACTGGGTGTTATGCACAAACAATGAATCATGGAACACTACATCAAAAACTAATGATGTAATGTATGGTGATTAACATAACAATAAGAAATAAAGAAAAAGGGTTAAGATTTGTGGTTACTAGAGTTGGAGGTGGGGGGGAAGAAGAAAGGTGTTCATAAGGTACAAACTTCCAGTTATAAGATAAATAAGTACTAGAAATATAATGTACACATGATGACTATAGTTAGCACTGCCCTGTGATATAAATGAAAATTGTTGAGAATAGATCCTAAGCATTCTCATCATACAAAAAAAATTTTTTTCCCTTTTTTTTTCTCTTTTTATTGTATCTATATGAGATGATGGATGCTAACTAAGCTTATAGCCGTAGTCATTTCAGAATATGTGGATTAAACCATTATCCTGGATACCTTAAATTTATACAGTGATGTATGTCAATTATATCTCGATAAAAACTGAAAAAATGTAAAAAAAAAATAAATTTATTTCTAGACTTCTAAAATACATTATTGGTCTTCTAACAGAACAAACATTTTCATACGAAAATTTTGTCTTCATTTACGCATGGTTTTATTGAGAGAGAAATGAGCAGTGGAAAGTAGCAAATGATAGGCGTCATCAATCATATGTGCTCGGTTTCCAAGTGTTTAGCACGTTGTCATATTTTAGTCAAGAGCATTTGCAACTTCCTTTGAAATTTCCAGACATACACTTAAAAAAAAAAAAAAAAACAATGTAAAGCATTATTTTACCTGTTTTCAAAAAAGTTAATGAATAGAAGATGAAAGAGATATGAATGGGGACATGGAAATAGGAATTAAAGAGATTGTCTCTGGCTAACTGTAAAATTGACGTACAGACTGACCCAATGAAGTAAAAATGTTTTCTAGTAACATTAGGTAGTGAAGAAAGCATTAAACGAGGTGCCAGAAGACTTATTTACTGTGCTTGCTCCTCCACAAGCTTTTTAAATTTAGATTCC